GGTAGTGTTTTGAATATTTCCAAGTTTATTTGCGATTCATCTCTGATGTTTGGTGTACAGCCTTGGTATTGGTCCGTGACTGTGACGCTAATTCTTGCGTTGTTTTCTAGGGAATTCACTCTTTGTTGGTTGTCGTTAAGTGTTGTTGTTAGGGCAGCGATTTGTGCTTTAAGACTGGCGATTTCTTGTGCAGTCATTTCGGAGTCGATGTTCGACGATGGACGTGATAAGTCGAAAACTTTTTCCGTTTTCATCGTAATTCCAGTGTGGTGTTCGTTGGTTTCTTTTATTCCGTTTTTTTCAGGAATCTGCTTGTCACAGGATTCGATTGCTGTCCGCTTTTTCAGGATCTGCTTTGTGATGATGGAAGTCTTATTTCCCGTGGGATTTTTTTAAAATTTATTCTATTCTGTTTTTCATTGGCTTCAGAAATAGAATAGCCTTTTTGGACCGGTTGAGCCCTCAGTTAATATCGTTTACGCGATATGAGTAAAAAAAAATATATTTTTTTTTGCTACGCCGAGATGCGTGCCTTTTATTGATATTCTTAAGACTGACTCTTTCATAAATCTTAGTGCTACTTATACTGTTGAGATGCGGCGATTGTTATCGCAGTGGATTATTCCGTTGCCAATTGTTTACTGTTTACGACTGTAGATATCTATTTGGGTTGGTTATTGTTCGTTGTAGTGATAGTGCATTTCTCTTCTTCCAGTGTTTGACCGTTGCAGTTCGCGATAATGCATGTCAAAACAAGTTCTATTGTTTTCATGTAGTTTACATAATGTTTACATAATGCATGTCAAAAGAACTTCTATTGTGTTGATGTTTGCTTTTGATGTTGTTTACATGATGCATGTCAAAAAAAGTTCTATTGTGTTGATGTTTGCATGATAATGCATGTTATGATCACGACCCAAGTAGATAGTGAGGCTGTGTCGTTACCTCGTGCGCGCTGTGACAAATGTTGCTGTAAGTAAATAAACGGAAAAAATTAACAAATTTTTTTTTAGAAATATTTTCTTGAATAAATACAGTTTTCGAAAATATAAACAAAATGGAAAACACTCATTGAGAACATATTTTTAATGCAACTTGATTTTTATGTGTAAATTAAGAAAAAATTCTAAATTATAAAAATATTATTTTTTTAAGCTCTAATGTCACTACGCTAACAAAAAAATTTCATCAACTTTCGTCAAGTAAGTTAAGAGAAAATGAGTTTTGAAAAAAATATTGCTTAAAAATATGTTTGCTTATAAAAACTTAAAACATTAAAATTTTAAAAAAAAATTCTCAGAATCCCTTTCACATCTATAAACATCTCTACCCACAAATTTTCACGCAAAAATTCGAACTTGACTGAAATCCGAGGTCTAGTTGAGAAATTTTCACCCATAGATTAAAGTGTTAGGGCCGTTAACTTATCTATTAACGATTTAACTATACTATTACGGCCCTTAACATGCGTCCAGCATGCTGGCCCCATCAAGTGTTGGTGCCAGCCGATTGACCGCGTATGTTCTTGTGGTGTGTTGTTGTTGTTGTTGTAGCGGCTACCCCGCCCAGATCGGTTAGTATCTCAGTCGATGTCGTCAAGCTCATTTAACGGGATACCCAAGAAGCGTGCAGCCTCTATAGGGTATGTCCACAGGTACAGAGGCGTTAGCTGCATTGGGTTTTCCGGGCATACGAAAAGATGATTCGAGTCGTGGGGTGTATTTTCGCATGCCGGACATTCGTTTGGCACATCTGCATCTATTGGGCTATTGTGGTTCGTGTCTCCCGATGCAGAAGAAGCTCTGTCGTGTGATTGTACCGGCTGCTGTTGCGACATCAAAAACGATTTGAAAATTTCTTGCATATGACAGTGCCGTGTTTGTGTTTTTGGACCTCATTTGTAAAGAAATAAATATTGTACCAGCAAGCTGGTATGTTATATGCTTCGAGCCTGATGGTACAAGCTGGTGTCGAGTATTAGTCCTTTTATATATACATATATGTATGTATATTGTGGTTCGTGTCTCCCGAGGCAGAAGAAGCTCCGTCTCATCTATGTCTGTTTGTCGTGTGATTGTACCGGCTGCTGTTGCGACATCAAAAACGATTTGAAAATTTCTTGCACTATATGAGAGAGTGCCGTGTTTGTGTTTTTGGACCTCATTTGTAAAGAAATAAATATTGTACCAGCAAGCTGGTATGTTATATGCTTCGAGCCTGATGGTACAATCACTTGATGGTGGCAACAAGCTGGTGTCGAGTATTTGTCCTTTTATACATACATATATGTATGTAAGTAAAAAATCTTAGCTACCATTTTTAGCCGCAAAGAATGTTTTTAGCTCTTTTTAGCCCTTTTTTAAAAGGAATTTCGCTATCACTAAAAATGACACTGCTCGCGAGCTTCTCGATGATCAATTTAAGGCAGCGTATTTAATTTAGGGTATTTAAACCCTGAACTCTTGAGTTTCTTTCAAACGCAATACTCGTCGCTCTCCAGAATATCAACCATGTGCCTCTCCATTTATTACTTGTACTCACTTTCTTTGCTGGAGCCATCAAACGCATATAATACAAATACACATACATGGAACCATGATACAAAAAAGAAGGTAGTTTCAATAAACAACTTTTGACGGATAATACATTTTTTCAAGTTTCATAAATTGGGAGTATTCTCAACGGCCTTGCCACTTTGATAATATTAAAACAATAAATCGGAATATTTTCTTTCCCACATTTATACCAATTTAATAATATTTCAAATCAAAAATCATCAGTGCTTGGTAATTTTTTTACTTACGTGGTTCGCACCTTTTTTTAAATATATATAAAATGTAAAGGAGATTCATCGTAATTGTTATTTTTATCTATCTAATATATAAAAATCTCGTGTCACGGTGTTAGTGGTCGAACTCCTCCTAAACGACTCGACCGATCTTTATGAATTTTTTTGTGTATATATGGTATGTATGAGAATCGGATGTAAAGTATATTTCATACCGCTAGGTGCAGGGGGCGTGGCACCTCCCAAACAAACCGAATTTTTCACACTGCATATCTCTAGAAGTGTTCATGGTAGAGTACTGGAACTTGGTATGTACAAGATATATAAAATCAGTCGCATAGGCTATTGGAAAAAGGGGCGTGGCACCTCCCACACAAACCGAATTTTCCACACTGAATATCTCCGGAAGTGTTTATGGTACAGGACTCGAACATGGTATGGAGATATATGAAATCAACACCATTCCTTAGAGAAAATTGGCGCTATTTGAAAAGGGGGCGTGGCGCCTTTCAAACGCACTGAAACTATTACGTATCTTTGTATGCATGTACACTTTTGCTAGGTTATTTAAGACGGCAATGGAAGTATGCCTTCTGTCAAACCGTAATATTAGAAGATAAATGCGTCACTGAAAATCATGAACGTGAACTGTTGGTGAAAATGTTGGACCAAAATTTCTCAATACAAAAAATTTATTTTGGGCGAGACGAAGTTCGCCGGGTCTGCTAGTTTTATAATAAAAATCACGAGAGCATTATGTTGTTATTTTTTCATTTTCTTATTTTGAATGCAATGTTTGCGATTTAAAAATCTAATTCTAAAGAATGTTCTATCTAAATAAAACCTATATATAATATTTTGGTCCAAATTTACTTTTAAATTTCTCATTGGATTTTGCAAAAAATTAGGCTTTGTGGCTAGCGTATCACCATTAACTTCAACAAATTTTGAAAATAAAATTTCCGATGTATGCAAAAAACTTGAAGCCGGTTTTCACAGACCGCCCTCCGATAATCAATTAACATAAGTATAAGTTTGGTAACTTTCTTTATGCGTTCTGAAATCTAGTTTTGTCGACCCCATTTTCGAAATTTTGTAGCCGGAAAAATTTTCAAGTCCATCATATTCCATATTTTTGAGTGGACTGATGAAATCTTCTGCTTTAGAAAAAAAATACTACTTCTTGTGATCAGGTAGCATGAATTTGATGAAATGTCTAATTTTATTAAAAGCCAAATGGTTAACAACAACAACGAATGTCATTAAATGGACCTACCTTTTTTGTATCATACATCCGATTAAATTCTTATGCGCACAAACTTTTTTTTGACAATATAATTAACATTAGCACATACATTTTTTCTAATATTGCTTTTAATACGTATGTCTCGATAACTACTTGAAATTGCTCGTAAGAATGGCGATACCCGAGATTATGTCGAGAACATTAAACTCGATTACTCAATTTCCCGGGTATCGAATTGCGAATGTGCGAGCAGAAATCGAAAGCCCTACTTAATATTGGTTAAAAAATACGGATAAGTTGAGAATTTGAGGGTGTTAGAAAATTTTTTAAATCAGTATCATGAATTAGGGTGGTATTATCACTTGCGAGGCGAATGAATTTGGCGAAGCGAATGGATTGGCGGACGCAACTTAAATATGCATTAAGACTGTTCGCTTTTACCAGCTTGTGCAAGTTCTTTGCATCACGGACACTTTTAATACCTTCTCTGCCTTTTAATTCGCTTCGCCAAACCGTTCGCTTCGTCAAAATCATTCGCTTCGCAAGTGATAATACCACCCTTAATCGTCCAGTTGTACAAGCTGTACTAAGTCACTTAAAAAGTTCATGCATTTTTTTTTTTTGTAACACCGTGTTATTATTTCTTTAACTTTTAGTTTAGATTTATTTGTAAAACCACAGGGTTTTAACAAGACATCATCGAATCGACGTTCATTAGTACTAACGTATGTAAAATAAGGTTAGTACTCTGGGGCTAGAGAAGAATAAAATTGAATCTGTATAACAGCTTAAAAAAATTGCGAATCCGCTAAAAACCGGCAGCTGCTAGATCCAATTTTGTCCGTTTAAACGCAATTGAATCCGGAAAACAGGAAACTTGCAAGACTGGTCCATGCATTCATGCAGATGTGTAAAAGATAAGCCACTATACTTTAATGTTTTTTTTTTTTTATTTTACTTTTGCAGGAAAGTATTACCAAATTGGGTACTCAATTCCCAAATGGCAGCAAGGGGTATAATTCAGCTTCGCCACACAAATTTTATTTCATTTGCTATCGAAATTCTTTATGAGGATAGGAGCCAGCTTGGAAACCCAATTTTCATAAAAGACATCTCTTTACAAAGTGGTCGAATTCCATCAGGTATGTATTTTGAATAGATATAATCTAGTAATTAATTGGGATGTGCACGTAAAAAGTACATCGATGGTTTTTTGATGCAATGCATCGTTTTGCGAATTATCAGTTAACAAAAAACATCGATGTTCGATTAATCGTATTTCTTGTACTTTAAAAAAAAAAATTTAAGAAAACAAGCTTTTTAATAAGGTTCAGTGTATTAATTTTATTTTTTAAATGTGTCAATATTTTTGTTTTAAGCTTTGTAAAAATATAATTTTGTTCACTCGTTTAGCCTATAGTCTGCGCTGATGCAAAATGACGCCTTTGAAGGAGGCCTTTCGGAACGCACCGAACTGGCTACCATAATAAAGTATTTGTACGCTATATTGTATAATTTTGGAGGCTGCATTTTGTAATCGGCTCATATTTCTAGAGGGTTCTCATTAAACCGACTTACCGGACTTCGCATAGAAATTGATAGCTCATCGTAAACGCTTCCTTCAGCCTTATTTGTTTTTACATTTTGGTGAATTATCCATTTAGTGGTCAGAAGTATCAGAATCGGGCTTTTCAAACTTGTCGTCTGGTATATCTCTTGCAAGTTATGGGCATCGATGTGTGAAACTATCGATTTTTCAATATTTTTGCCAATAAAAGATCGATAGTATCGATACTATTGGGTTTTCTTGGGAATTATAATTTTTTGTTTAAAATTGAACTCTGATCAATTAAAAATATTATAATTTTTTAACAAATTACATTTATTACTTAAATGTGATCCATTAATTAATTTTAAGTAAATATGTATTAATAAGGCCATTGCCAATTCATTGACTTATATTTAAGGTCACATAATTAGGCCAATTCTTAATACTCCCGGGGAGTTTGTTCTCCGGGAATTTGTTTCTCCCGAGAAAGAAATCCCCCAATAATTAACTCCCAGGAGTAGCATTATTTTTTGTTGGAACATTTTGGTACAACACTTTCACCAACTATTCACTTAACAACTACCAGTGGAACATTTATCTGCTCTAATTATGGGTTTTTGGTTGTCAGATGGCATATCTTCTATTGCCATTTTAAATAACCTAATCAAAGCGTTGTGTCTTTGACGAAGTTCTTGTACTTTTACAATGATCTGGCGTTTCATAGCAAAGTTAGTCGCCCATTGGTGATCAATTTCGATATCAAAGTTTCCAATGAAATAAATTTTAATAACTTCCTTCTCTTCATTTACTGTCTTGAACAATGATCTGGTTCGGTGTTGAATCTGTACAGCATAGTTGGTGTCAAGTTCAAAATGAGTGATTATCGTTGGTTCACATAAATCCAGTATACAAAGACTTATTTGAGATGCAATCCTTTAACTGCCTAATCATTCCATTTGTTGGCATTCATCAAGAATTGTCCTTATTCTGGTAATTCGCCATAAAGTTATGAGCGCAGGGGTTCTGGTGGGTCAGAGTTAACTGTAGTAATTTGACTATAACTCCTGCAGAACTCAATCCCGTTGTCTCATGACGCATCGCAAACTTAGCAAATGACATCAGATGGACAAATCGTAACTCACAGAAGTTCGATATACTCAATGTTGCGGCATGAAACTTGACAAAATTGTAAATTCTTTTCGATTTACACTGCACCAGTTGAGAGGACTTTCAGTTGTATTTCTTTTTTTATTGCGGTGCAATAATTCTTTTTCGGGAATTGCATCGGGGCTGCAAATGTCGGATGTATCCTCCTGACTTCCATCTTCACAATCTTGCATCATGGCAAGATCGTTGTTAAAAAAGATACCCCGTTTTTTATAATAATTTGAATTATGGAATCACGGACGATAAAGGTCTCAGATTTGCTTAGTTCCCGGGTGACTTCTTGGAAAGGTTCGCCTATGATGAATACCTTGTAATTAGTTTTTTTTTATTAGTTAGCTGAACTCGGCTTTTCCTAGATAAAGGCAGTCACAATTAATTACTCACCGCTGTTGATACCATAAGCCATCAAATCCGTTTTGTTGTTCCATTCCATGCGCTCAATGTGTTTTGATATATTTTTTTAAGGCGAATGAACGCAAATTTTCAACATATGTATCGTTAATACTATTTCACATTTTCGCTGAAATGCAAAAAACCACAACTAACTAAAGTTTTGTATTGCCGAAAATGATGTGGGGACTTATGATTCGAGGAAATGCATCATTATCAATCAAAAAGTTAATTTTGGATTTTTGGTTAGTTACGGCTTTTTGTATTCCAACGACGATGTGAGTTAAGCCCTTTCCATACTCTTTAATTTTAATTTGTGAACTTGGCTGTCGACTTATTTACATATCATTTCATCTTTATTCCGATGCGTTCTAATTTTGACAATTTACACAAAATTAAAATAAATGTTTTTGTTTTCGAGCTGAAAGACTAATAAAAGGAAACATAGAACTTAAGAATAATAAGTTTTATGAGAAAGAAATAATTACACTTTTCTAAGAAAAAGTAGAAAAAAAACTAGCGAAGATCCAGTTTTTTCAACAGACCTTTGACAAATAATATTCGATAGTTAC